CTTAATTTTTACTTCATTTAATGATAATTTGTGCGATGTCAACTTTCTGAACTATTCTTTATTTAGTTATGATTCTTCTGACTTTTATAGATCTTAATTTGACTAATTAAATTATCTGTAATTACTTACATAAAAATTATTGAATGACAATAGAGTTTTGCCTAATTCACATTTGTCAAGATGCTGATGCCATCTTGATGTTTACACCCTTTTTTTTCTTTTTTGTAAATTTTAAATATATTTTATTTTTATTTCTTAATCTAAAATTTATAAAAAAATTATATTCTTTGAGGAAAATTCTAAAATATTACCCAATATTATATTACATTCTTAATCGACTTAGAATTTTTTTTACTATTTTAGAAAAAAATATTAAATTATAATTGATTTACTTGTTGAGAATACTTTTAAATATTTTAAAATTATTATTTTTATAGTTTTATAAAATTTAAATTTACACGATTTATTATACAACAACTAAGTCACATCAGGGGTAGACCACCTCACTTAGCCCTCTCCCAAGATGGTATTGACCATTTTGTTTCTAAGAAAGAAAACTCACAGAGAGGGGTACATACATATTTTTTTCTCAAACATTGGGGTAAAATCAATAAAGGCCTAAAACTCAATGGGAACATGTTAAAAAATCATTGCCAAAAATACCTGAGTTGTGAGAATGAAATACAACCATGATGACACTTTTTAAGGGTATTATGATAATAATTAACCTTCTCTCATGTGGCTAGGTGATTGATGAAGGTTCATATCCTACCAAAATCATACTTACTTTTTTTATCTGATTAAATCATGATTTTTCTACTTCACGTTGGTCAATGATCAAACCACTAGAATCGCTTGATCATTAATGAAAATTTTATCAATACAATTAGTAGAGTGTCATTATCAACTGACTATAGATTATGGATAAAAAGATCACGAATTCATTCAGAACATTATCTCTAGTTGATTGGCGAACACACCTTTGTTGAGAACAAGATGATCCGTTGAGAGGCAAGTCGTTGCCTCTTTAGAGCATACCAAATGTAATAAATAACCTCCTTTTATTATGCAGAGCTAAAGATGGAGTTCCTTAAGATGTACTCTACCTTCGCTAAATTCACCTCTATCGAGTGACATCCATTGGAGAACCTATTATTGCCAAACTTCTGCTTCATTGGGTGACAGCCAACAAAGATGCTTCATCTACTTCCATCATCATTTTCTAACCTTTGCAAAGGAATTTAGAGATAGCCCACATTGTCTATATTCAAGGAGAGACTTTGAGGTTGTAAATATTTTACGATAATCCTCTCAATTACTTAGAATTCTAAAGATCACTGCCAGGATGCCATAACTCTATTTTACTTATTTTTAATTTAATATTATTTTATGTGATTTTAAAATTTAAAAGTATTCTTTAGTCAATTATGAATCTTTTATTATTTATAGATCTCAATTTAATCAATTAAAACATATGCAATCATTTATGTAATAATCATTAAGAGGAACTTTATTTTCACCTAAATCATCATTCGTCACGTGCAAACATCATCTTGACATTAATGCTTTGATTTATCTTTTTCATCAATTTTAAAATCACATTCTTTTAGAAAGAAATCTAAGATTTTACTTGGTATTAGCTTATATCCACATGATCGAGTTAAAAAATTCTCACTTTGTTAGAGCTTTTATTAGATTATAATTAATCTATTTTTATAAAATATTTTTAAAATTTAATATTTAATATTTTCAAATCAAATTTCAATTTGTAGAACTTATTATACAACGACTAAACTGCATCATTCAATATATCATATTTCTCTTTTATTCACATATCTATGTTGAGTTCCTATCAACTCTTCTAATTTTCATTGGATATCATCAAGTTTTATAGAATAATTCTCGAAAATTTACTTTTCCTTTATCTAATGTTTTCTCTCTAGTTTCAATCTTTTCAGCACATGCATCTCTCTTAAGGTTTTCTAGCTTTAACTTCAGCTGACTATTTTCATTAGCCAACTCTTCTATTTTACATTTATGAATATCCATGTATTTCTAATTTGTGTCAAATTGTTCATATGTTGTTTTCATTTGTTCCTTCACCTCTATGATTTATTTTCTAGATTTTTCATGACTAGCCTTTTGCCATGTAAGATCACTATAAGATTCAGAAGGTATTTCAAAAAAATATTTTCTTAACGTTTATTCATCATATAAGTCATTTGTCTCTAATTTGGTGGTCATGAAGCATGTCTTTCTTCATATCGCTCACATTAATAATTTCTATAGAGTTGTATATTGCCTCTTTTGACTCTAACTCTACAACCTTTTTTATTATATTTTCTATCTCAACTTCATAAGTAACCTGTAGTCTAGCACAAATTTCTTTTCTAGATTCAGAAGTCAATACCCTATTAAGTTCTTTTGTATCTAACACTCTAACCAATTTATTTTTAGCTCTAATATTTATGGAATGATTTTTTTTTTTGTTATATAGGTGCATCCTTATTTACTTCTAATAGTCCATCTATGATGATTTCCCATTATTGATAATCTAATCCTTAGATGAAACTCTCCATTTTATTCATCCACAAAACATAATTTGACATTGAGTGATGGTGGTCTATATATTAAGCTCAGATATGTGTTCTATCTTTTGATGTGCTGGCCACTGGATCTACTCTTTGAAGAAATTTATTTCTTATGTATAGAGGTAGACTTTGATGCCACTTGTTGGGTTTTGGCCTACACTAAGATCAAGAAGGGGATGGGTTGAGTTGATCTATTATTTTCTATTTCATTCCTATATAAACCTCTCTCAAACTTTTCATGTTCCCCTAGGATAACATATGTGTGGATTTTCACTTCATTTAGAACACACTATGTTTTAATAGTCGTTTGGCCAACTACTTATGTTCACTCTCCAAGAATAGAACTATTCTTAGGTTCCACTACATGTGATTATCTAACCAAAATCGTTGATTAATTAGGCTCAACTTCCTTGGTATCACATTTATCCCACTACAAATGATTAAGATTTCAACATGGGATGATTTCTAGAAGATAATACTGATTTAAAGTGCATCCGAAATATTAATGAAGAAGATGATGATTAAAACATGATATTTATTGTTCTCTTCTTGTAGGGATGATGACTGAAGATGGAAGACGTTGCTCCTTTGAAATAGTTGAGATTGACAACAAATGCTTGAGTAATGTTCTGAGTGCCTTGATGCAGTTTGATCAGTTGACAAAGATTTCACAATTTTCTCAGATTTTTTTACGGAAAAAATAAGATAAACCTCTTGAAGTTTAGAAAGGTTAAAGATAGGCATTCAGCTCTAATTTAGAAACAAAGGATTTGAAGTTTCATCCTATTTTCTATTGTCTAACAATTGTAATATTTCTGTAAATGATAAAAATTCAAACAGCTAGAAAACTAATACAAAATGTCTTTTATAAGCTTGGATATACTAAAGAGAAGTAAATACATGATTCCTTTAAACTACATTATAATTCTTCAAATCGTATTGATACAATCAAAGATCGATAACAATTCAATATCATTAAACCATGACATACAATATATATCTTGATAAGAGGGCGATTGAGCAATCAAATCTTATTTGAATCACGCCAAGTAAAATATGATCATCAGATTAACAGCTTAAATCATGATCTCCATATTTATAATCATGATTTTAGTGATTCAAGATATCTAAAATAATTTTAAAAATATATTATTTAATATCTAGAAATCAGATTCGACTGAGTAAGCTTTTATACCCATAATTTACTTCTTGTTGTCTCATTGATTATGATGTACTTATCATTACTTTCTCACTTTGGCATGCTATGTAAATATTAAAAATTCCACAACAATATAAAAACATGATAATTTCTTAGGATCAAATTAAGCAAATAAATAAATTTAACATAACTAACATAAAGTATGTATAATGAATTCTCACATGAACATTTAATAGTATTATATTGAATTGTATTTGAACATGATATTTAATCTTATTAATTAATCTTTATAACTATTTGTCATCATCAAAACCTTATTCATTTGATGCACCAAGAAGGCTTACACATAATATGGTAACACATTTACCTCACATAGACTTTGTATTACCTTTTTACTCATATGGTCTAGTAGTTATATTTATAACAAGAATTTAAAATCTAATGAGATGTTTCTTATGATTTAAACTGTAATTCTCCATTGAAATAATTTATATTCTTGATCTTATCTAATACATCAATTTCTAATAAGTTTATATAACATATTATCATTTTCCCGATTTCATATGAATGTCTAAAAATCTTCAAAATCATAATGAGCCAATCCATAACTTGACATTAAAGAGATTTATTGTCTAATTAAGTGCAGGCTATTAAAAAATAATAATGAGCATCTATCAAATGTTTTGGTAGTGGAGCTGCAGCAAATATTTTGACCTATATCATCTTTTCATGGTTTTTCTTTGGTTTTTAGCAATTTTATTAGTATACCTTTAGGTGAACAATTAAGATTTTTTGCTAAAATGATAAAAAACCAGATGAAATTTCGGCATTAATCAAATTTATGGAATGTTTCTTGGTATTTTCCTATTAATTATGGTTATATTTTCTCTCTTTTTTGCAGCTATGTTTAATTCCCATCTGATAGTTGTGCTCGTAAACATGCAAGATCTGGTCAAGTCTACAAAAATAGCTTGTAATGTACAGTGCTTGATAAACCAACGTTAGAGATTACTGTTGTTATGCCACGAGTTGGTGTCAATCACAGTCTATACCTGTTTGTTCTCCAGAGCTTAGTCAACAATATTATGTTCCTGATGTTGGTTGTGTACATAAATTACTGATGTTTACAACCATTTATGATAAATTTGAGGTCCCCCCTTCTTTAGGGAGCATCAATTTAGAAGGTAATTCTGTCGATATATTATCGATGTCAAATCCATTTGGAGTTGAGCAGATGTATAATTTGCTCCTCAGTGTAGTTCATGGTTGCCAGCACGGACCATTCGAGCATAATTTATTTCGGCCTGCTTTCTGCAATTCCATTCTTTGATGAACTCCGAAATCAGCATATTTCCCATGTTTTTGTAAGCCTCCTGTGTCAAGTGAATCCCATCCCAGCTGATGAACCGGCTTGGATCAGCGCACACTTGAACTCCTGGGTTCCCGCACTTATTTTTCAAGTCAAAGTTGTAGTCTCCCCCGCTCCCGCAACAAGCCTTGAGAAGAGAATTTTTCTCGAACCCTGGTCATGAAAAATACCACACCATTCAGATGTCATATATGTTTGTAAGATGATTCATAGATATGATATGGGGCTGTTAGATTTACCATAATCATGAGCCTTGTCAATCAATGTTAAGTACGGATTATAGTAATCTCCGTAGCTTATGGTGATGTCAGGGTGAGTCTTCTTCAGATCCCGGATGGCCTTCTGCAGGTACTCATTGTGGTATTCAGCGAAGCTATTGAGGCTCTTCAGACAGCCCCTCTCATCAGGGACCAAGCCGCGGCCTTTGAAGAGAGTGAGGTAGATCGGCATGCAGCCGATCGGAAAATTCCCCGGCACCACTAATCGACGGGCGCCGACGTTGATTAATGCCTGTAAACATCACTAACCCACTTTCAGTTGATAACATCCGAGGTTAATTAATCGCTCATATGACAAGACTTTCAGTACCTTAGCAGTAGCTATGATGGTTCCCACCACTTGTGGCACATAAGTCTTCACCTCTTCCATGGACTTGCCTGCCTGGAAGGCATTGCCGTAGTCGTTCCCCCCAATCTCCCCCACTAGAAAGAGAGCCTTTCGGAACTTATTTGAACAGTCTATAGTTCATAAACGGATGTCAGAAATAAATCCTATGATCCAAGAGATGATACGATTAGGGGGAAATGTGGGGAGGGCAGGACCTTCCTTGGAGAGGCAGATATGGTTGATGTGGGCATTGAACCATTGGAGCTGAAGCCCGAGTGAGTAAGACGGTACTGGTAGCGAGATACCCCTTTTGAGGAAGAAAGACTGATTGAGTGCAGTAGATCCGGCGACAGCGAAGTTGACCCCATAGTCAAAGTTGGCCGATTTATCCATGTACGGTGGCACGTTGGGAAGATCAAACGTAGCGGCTGTCGGAAAGGTGGGGGGGTGAGGGACGGGGAGTTGACTTTGGATTCTTGAACACACAGATGATGACAGAATGAACCGCTCGTTACAGAGAAAATTTATCTGCCATTACCGATGTAGTCGATCATTAGGTAGCCGTCTGAGGATCGGCCGGTGGCCTTCTGGAGGGTCTCGCCGTAGGGAAGGGAGGTCGACGGCGTGCGCTCTCCTTGCCGGGCGAGATAAAGTAAGTTGCCGGTGTCTGCGGTGGAGTCCCCGAGGCTGTAAATCGAGGTGATGGCGCAACCCTTGGCGATGGCGGAAGGCCCGCCTGCTCCGCCGAGTGGGGGGGCAAAGAACTCGAGGTGTAAAGGTTGCGCAAGTGAGAGCAGCCAGAGGATCAGGCGCCCAGCCATGGCTCTGGTGTCTCCGCGTAAATTAGCAGAGGAAATGAAGGCGGCATGTGTTCTTGGGAAGTTTTCCAAAAGGGTTTATAGGCGTCTCCTGCCCGGTCGTTGGAAGATGAGTGGTGGACTCAGACACCGGTCAACAACGCTACCTAATCAAGCCCTGACTTCCGGACGAAGAAGAAGACGAAGATGAAGATAATAGGGTCACGACAATGTTCAACTATAACGGCGGGTTCTTCTTAGGGACCCATTAATGTCATAGGGGCTCTTTGATGGTAGAAAACGGTCACTATCTCACCAAATAACTCAAATGATATAGCGATGACCACCCAAAAAATCAATATATATATATATATATATTATTTCTCAAGATAAATTTAGATATTAGATATCAATGCTAATTTCATATAGGGCCTAAATTAAATGTAGACTGACGGCAGCTGACACAACGAGATATTAGATGGATATAAGATGGTACACAAGCTTTCAACACGTAAAAGGATGTCATGTGGGCCTTTCTAATGCGATTAAGCTCGAGAATAATCGCTACACCTTAGATGTACATTTAGCTTAGGATATGGGTTACTCTCCAAGGTTTTCATAAGAAGGATTATTTATCCCTCAAACTGAGCTGCAGTAATCCTGGGGATTGGTGAGGAATTCAATTCGTCGACCCCGTCTAAGAATGACGATCCGCGTTTACCGTTCAACAGGATCCATCTCACCAAACCTTCAAATATCTTAAAAACTCACGGGGAAAACTCATGGCGAAACCTTATCCAAACTAAAACATTATCAAATCCATTTGTACCTTCCGGCCGCCAAGGTCCCCCGAGACATCAATGATAAAGAATCCTCGTTAACTGTTTGGTCGGAGCCTCAGGATGATGGAGCATGGGGGAGGCCATATGTGATCGGCCTGAAAGCCCGTAGGACATCGAGGAAGCATAACACCCTCTACGTAGAGAATAAGCACAGGGCGGGTGTTGACGCGCGCGCGACGGCACAACCCTGCATGACGAAGATAATTCGTCGTCCACCGATTTAGGAAATGGTCTGAATTTTCTATTCTCAGATGAGGAGAATTCTTTGGCTACCGCGACGGCAATGCTGACTCCCCATCAGAGATGGCCGACTCATTCGAATACGGCAGTAGGTGAGGAAGACCAGGTCCTTGATCGGATTCAGCGCCTGCCATAACCCAGATGTTGACTCTTGACGAAAGGAATTTTAGACGCAACGAACTAGCTTAGAAGGAGATAGAGAAGGCCGGAATAGTCGATAGTGAGAGGCCCACCAGAGATCCAAGGCTGAGGACGATGCTGGTGGAGCAGATGGTGGGGGTGGCGGCGAACCCGCCATGCCAGGCACTGTAGAAGTTAGAGGACAGAAGCCAGAGGAACAGATGGCAGACGGAGTTAATGATAATGTGTTATCCAAAAGAATCGTATATCTCACACTATGCGAAAATAAAGTGCACCCAAGTGACATTGTGAGCACCTGATTCGAATATATAGAAAGCAATAACTGATACTTGAGAAAAATAATAATAATAAAGATGTAGCAGCCCAATACTTGAATTATGCTATTTAAATATTGAAACTTCATAAATGGCGTGAAGCTAAGAGCGGATTAAGACCGACTACCATGATGCGACCCATTTAAAGTAAGATGGTACATGACAGAGGCCTGCTGCCTACCAATCATTCGGTACCCATTTCTCGCAAGGGCCCTTCCAAATGAATGAGATCAAGACTAATACGACCTAGTAGTCTACATTTACCCTAGATATCGATGAAGCCCACTTTCCAAAATTGTTGTCAGAAACAGATAAAGACTTGGTGCTCCAAAAAAATTATCATGCCCAGAGATTAGGGAGCCTCAAGCAGCTGGAGCTGAAGCAGCAGCAGCAGGACCAGGCGCGACTCCACCTGTGGCTGGCCTGAAAGTTCATAGGATGAAAAGGAATCAGAGAGGCTGACATAGAGAACAGTCAAAGGTTATACTCTCTCCAGACTTTTCTGAGAAGCAGTATTGAAGATTGATCGAGAGAAACCCACCAGCCGTCATGATTCCCCACTGAGCACCGGTGAGGGTGCTTTGAAGGTATAATCACAATACACAAGGGAAGCCTGCGGGTGAAGAGGCCCCATAGTCCGAGCTTCTTGACTGCCTAAGCAAGATAGAACAACTAGCACCGTCAGAAGCAATGCAAAAGTAAGTTTGGGGGGGGGGGGGAAGGGGGGAGGGGGAGAGTGGAGAACTGAGAGGATCACTCACGTCACCAATAGTAGTTCCTTTGGCATGTTGATGAATGAAACCAGATTGTCAGCAGGGTGGGAGATGATGAACTCAATTTAGAGGTTAAATATGTCATCATGATGAAACTTCACTCTTCTGTTTAAGATAAGTAAGGGTCAATCCTCAAAAAGCGTGAATAATGAGATTAAGAATTTTACTTATTTTATTTCTTATATATATATAGATATACTTGAGATTGTAAAAGGTAGAATTAAATTTAAAAAGGGAGAAGACGAGAAATAAAAAGTATGGTAAAAGGGAAAGAATGAATCTAACACAATAGAATGATTGAATAAATGATAAAACTAGTTCGAACTAAGAGTGAATCTATTCACGAAGAAGATTACAAGGACGTCCAGATCTAGATCTTGCAAAGACTTTATTGTGTCAGTCTTAGGCCAAGTGATGCTTGATCTGTAATGATTTTGATGTTCTCCAAGTAGTCTCTTCTCTATGACAATCTTGAGCACAAGAATGTTATTGACTGGAGTTTGATTTCTCTCATTTTTCTTTCGGTTAGCCACTACTAGAGAGAGAGTCAAAAAGTGTCTTCTAAGAGAGGAACGAGATACCTTAAACCTCTAAAAAATTAAGCCCCTTTAATAGACAGTTATGATTAATAACTAACTCTCTTGACGAACGATCTAGATTTTTCTATGAGGGTGGTGCTCTAATCCTCCTCTTAATCTCATCTTAAGGTGGCTTAAGATGGGCAACCTAGATCTCATCTCTTGATAGCCCTTTTAAGTCTAAATGAGTTATAGGCCAAGGTGACGCCCTCTCTTGGACCCATAAACATATTAAGTCAGCTCTCTCCATAAGACTTGGGCTTTTTTTTTTTGCTTCTTTCATTACTTCTAACTCATAATAAGAGTTCACCTAAGTCTTTACAATCAAATAATTATCAATAAAATATGAGAGAATCACTACTTGATTTTATAAAAGTCAAGTGAGGTTAGTCTCATAATATAATTAAAATAATATGTATTAGAACTTTAATGACAAAATATTATGAATGTCATAATGAGTCAATAACACATATAATTGTATTATCTACCCATTAATTAGTATATATAAGATATTAATATATAGAATTAATTACTAATTTATAATTATCAAGAGACAATGGCACAGAAGATCCCAACTACGTAGTCACCAACGAAGCTCATACTGAGTTGGAGTGACTTGTTGCACTTGTCCTTGGGTGTGGGGATGGCATGCTAGTAGATCATCTCCACAATGGTCTCAGAAGATACAAACTTCATTATTGTATCTAAGAATGTAAATTCCTTTTATTCTGTGGAGCCATCCAAGAATACAAACTTTGCCACACAATATAATTAAAAGCTAGTAAATATGAAAATTTTCTAGCATGTGAGTGCATTCGTAAATGCAAGCATATAATATAACTGCCCATATGCTTGAAATGAGAATGAACATCTTGACCAAAGAAACCTAATTAACTTATTTTCTCAAGGTAATTCCCATCAAATAATAAAGAAATAAAAGAAAAACACTACAAGCAGACCGCACAATCATCGAGCAAAAATGGAATTGAGAATCTGATTGGAAACCACGCACGAATAACTATTATGCAATTTAGTTCATAAAAAAAGTTGAAAACCTACAACTAGAATTAAATTACAAGAGATTAACGAGGACACTACAAACCATATCTTTGGATGTGATTGTACTTGAGAAGAAGTACAATAGGTGATAAATTATTATATTCAAGTCAACTCTTTGCATCATATGAATGCCCTTGAAGCATTTGAATCACAGCGAGGGGATGCAGCAAGAGCATCCAAATGTCCTAAGAACAATAATAGATTGGGAAAGTAAGTTCAATGCGTACAACCACAAATGTGGAGCAATGTATGCAGCATGCTTGGAAAATATATAACCAAATACGGCAAATGAGTGTATACATCAGGCAAATTTCTCCATGTTTGTATTTTTTTAGGCGATAGTCTTTTTCTTCCTTTCCAATAGTTATACTAATAAGACAAAAAAAATACAAGCACAAAAGAGTCGCCTAAAGGAATATGAGGGCATTCTGATTAAATCAAGATTATGTTCCAAAAAATATCATAAAGAATAAGAAACACAATGTATGAATCTACCAATATAATTATTCTTTGGACCACCGAAAAAAGTGAGTCCTGGCTGTTTTTCTCTAGCACCACAGAGCCTTTTTTATTTCTCTTGGATTTACAAAGCATCAAATTCGTCCATAAAGAGAACCCGAATGTAAGCATTGAAGTCAAATTAACCATATGAAATACATTGCATTCAACTTAGGCTTCACATAGAAAAAAAAAATCATCTGATCTCAAAATCTAGTTCATGATTATTGTTGCCAACTTTAAAAAGGATTGACATCTCTAACAAAAATGAGCAAAACAAATCCACTATGGTAAAATGTATACTGGGTTGATGATTGAGATGGTAAAACAAAGGAATAAATCAAACAATAGATCTGATTTTCAATAAATTAAATAACAAGAAAGTATGATATTTCAATAAAAAAAATAGTGGTTGTACTCAAATTTTCTTCAATTATTTCACACATAAATTTGCTAGAAAGTATAATATGAAGTTTGGTGGAAAAAAAAAAGGAGAGCCCAATTTGCATGGGAAGTAGAGAAGAATGAAGAAGTGTTACAAGGTATCTAGTGTCCCAAAGAGGACCAAGTCCCTTGTACAATCTAAAAGCAGTGAATCAAGGAGTGAATCCGTTTTGCATTGAACCCATTAGAAAAATAAATTTACACCATACCTTAGCATGCCTTTATAGCTGAAATTTTTGGGCAACCCATCTTGTAGACCCCTGGCAAATCCAAGCTGCATCTAGACTCACACCTTTACAGCCTCCATAGGGCAAGGAGCAATATCAACAATAACTTCAGAATAATACTTCTTAAATAACTAATAGAATCCAAACTTGCAAGCACCTTGAGTGCTGTACCCCATAAGGGTATGTACCCAACCACTAAAAAAACCTCTGACACCCTATTCCTTAAGCAGAACACCAAATCTAAATGTGATATAAGATAGGATCGATCTGAGAATATTGTAATTATGATATTTAGTGGCAGTCTATTAAGAGGATAATAAATTGTAATATTGGAAAATAATATTTATGACTAAATGAAAGGAAATGACATACAATTAACTTATAGAGAACTTAAAGTAAAGCCTGAGTCCCCTTAAATTATAAATACTCAATATAACCTCAAACCCCATTTGACTGCTACAAGGTAAAAAATTAATTATCCCTCATTGCTGCAAGAATTTTCTCAAATAACTTAAAAAGGAAATGTACTATTCAGTTGAAGATTTAAGTAGCAAAAAGAAGACTAGATGCCAACCCAAAGCAACAATACTGACGTGACTCAGTCGTTGTATATTAAATCACGCAAATCTAAAATTTATAAAACTAGAAAATACGAATTTTCAGATATTTAGAAGTATTTCTAAATAAATATATCAATTATAATTCAATAAAACTTCCAAAAATAGCGGTAATTTCTCAAGTCGATCACAGGGATGTAATATAATATTTTGTAATTATTCATATTTTTTCTCAATGAATACGATTTTCTATGAATTTTATACTAGGAAATGAAAAGGAAATATATTTAAAATTCACGAAAAAAAAAGAGGAATAAGGGTGCGGATGTCAGGATGACGTCAGTGCCCGGCGAACGCCGGAATCCAATTAAGATCTGTAAAAGTCAGAAGAATCGTAATTGAACGAAGGATAGTTTGGTAAATTAAAATCACACAAAGTATCACTAAATGAAGCATAAATTAAATTGAAAGCAGGAAAACAGAGTTCCGGCGTCACGACGGCGATGCGTCGGCGATGCACCAGAATTCTAAGCATTCGGGAGGATCGTCGTGTAGTGTCCACGGCCTCGAAGGCTCTCCTTGGACAAAGACGACATGGGCAATCTCTAGATCTTCTCGCGAAGTCTAAAAATTAATGAAATGGGTCGCCGAGTCGTCTCCGGCGGCTGTCACCCGGCGGAGCGGAAAAATAGCGACTTTGCAGCTCTCTGGGGGCTGTCACCCGACGGAGAGGAGCTGGATGGAGGTGGGACGTGTGTCAGGGAGCTTCATCCTTAGGTCCGCGCAGCAAGAGGAGGCTCTTCATCGCATCTGGTACGCTCTCAGGAGGTGGCGACTCGTCTCCTGGCGGATCGTCCTCTTCCCGACGACGGCTTGTTCGTCGATCAATCGGAGACGATTTACTCGATGGATTCGCGATCCTTTTATCGCGAATCGTTCAGCAATTTTAGTAGCAATGCTCCGCGAATCGCGTTGACGAGATTTTCGCCGATGATCCAGCGATTCTGGTTGCTTAATCCTTCACCGGCGATCTACAGGAAAGTCGCGATAATCAGATAAAAATATATGAATTTTGACTCTGGGAGGATTCGAACCCGCGCCGGTTGTCCGCCCCTATTGAGGAAGGTGTGACGCGGGTTTAGTCCCACATCGGTTGTGCGCCGATTTTTCAGGCGAATATATAGTAATGTTAGCTTTTTAGGCAAAGTCCCTTCTCTCGCGTGTACGACCACTCCTTGCCCCACAGCCGGCTGGCCACCGGTGACGTGGAAGGGGAGTGGCGCACACGTGCCCCTATCGGTCCAAGCCGCTCGAGCCCCTACTCGCGGCTGCTCCCCGACTGAGCTTCCGACCCACTTGCGGGCCTGGCTGGCCGGCGGGTCCCCCCCATTTTGCAATATTTTAGTTTTATTTCTTTTTCTTCATTTATCTCAAAAGTAAGACTGTAAAAATCATATAAATTCGTATAAAATCACATAATTACCCAAAAAATCACATTAATCAATTGAAAACCACTTTTCACACTTAAACACAAATATAAGTCTATTTATCACGAGTTAAGGCTAAAACTATATTATTTACTAATTATTAACTCATGATAATGAAGACTTATCAAATACTAATTGCAAGCAAACAAATCTTAAAGAAAATGATAGATTAGGAGGAATATTTGAGGCTGCAGGTATATAATTAACATCAGCACATAAAGAAATTGATATTATTATATTTCCCACTGATCCATGAAAACATAGCAAATCATTATCATCGTCAACCAAACCCTTTCCCTATCCCTTGACCTGATCTGATATTGCAAGTAGGCTCCTAAAACCCACGAGAGTCACCAAAATCCTAACATGATTCAACTTAACACAATCATGGAACAGAACTAAAAAAATGTTAACCATAGAGAGAGTGTAGACGAAGATCAAGTTTGATGGTTTTATCTACAGAATTTTTGCTAGAATAATTGACAAGGGTAAACCTCTCATAAAAAAGTTGATGACAAAGTTGGTGAACCCATCATAAGTTACCAACAACCCTAATATCCCACATACCAAGGTACATTATAACACCCAATAAGACCATACAAAGAATTTCGAGGGCAAATAAATGTAGAGACCACAAGAGATTGCACTAATAGTCACAAAAACCAAACCCTCAAGCGTTACAAACCCTCCAAAATTTCCAACACCCACCTGCATGTTACATTTAACAAGATCCAAGGGTGTGATGGCCATGTGGGTAAGATCACATGAAATGTGACTCATCTGTGTCAATGTTTGTCACAATTGCTAGAAAGCAAGCGAACACCTTCCTAATGGTTCGATACTACATCTCTTATTCAAAGATAATTAATGGTTACATCATGTCTATTGTTTCTATTGATAATCAAGTGGCAACATATTGTAGGAAAAAGTTATCGCACTTACTATTCCTCTCAATGGCTATTATGATCTACATATGAACCCTCATTACTTCTATGACAATCAACATGGATGAGAAACTTGAGTTTTGTATCCATGCCACAGGTTATACATTCTTGCTTTGATTTCCAAAAGATGTTGTTCATAAGTTTGCAGACACACAAGTAATTTTTACTCTAGGTTGACCAGCAAGTGAGCACAAATCAATTAATAATGCAATGGACACATGAGATCATGCCAAAGGTTTGAAGCATTGATGTATTTCAGGTCTTGTGCTGCTATTTTTTATCTAAGGAAAATCTTGTTAATCTAATTAGGCATTGATGGACACATTGTTTTCAATAAGAACATCTCCCACTAGTGATAAATAAGCATTTGGTATCACACTTATTCCACTAATAATAAATATTTCATTGTAGGATGATTTTCGAAAGATAATTTTGACTTTGAAGTGTGTCCAAAATATCAATGAAGAGAATGATGACCAAGGCCTGATATTTGTTGTCCTCTTCTTGTAAATATAGAATGAAGATGGAAGACATTGCTCTTTTGAATTGATTGAGATTGGTTGCTGAATACTTGAGTAATATTCCTCAACTTGGTGCCTTGATGAAGATTGACCAGCCAACAAACATCTCACAATTTCCTCATACTTTTTTACAGAAAAAATTAGATAAACCTCTTGAGGTTGTAGAGGGGTTGAAGATAGACATTCAACTCTAATTTAGTAATCGGAAAGTTGTATTTACAGAGAAATCTAATTCGATGTCTCCGCATGTATGTTTTCTATTATCTCACAATAATAATGTTTCTAGAAATGATAGAAATTCAAACAGCAAGAAAACCAATGTGACATGTCTTTTATAAGTTCACATATCCTAAGAGAAACTAATACATGTTTTTTTGAAATTACATTATAAATATCCAAATTATATTGATATAATCAAACACTGATAAATATTTGCTATTATGTAAGAATCCGCCATCATGAAAACAAGGCAAAGAACATATATATTGATAAGAGAGTGATTGAGTAATCAAATCTTATTCTAATCACCTCAGATAAAATATGATAATCAAGTAAATATCTTGGTTCATGATCTCAATATTTATAACCATGATTTTAGTGATTCAAGATATCTAAAATGATTTTCAAAATATATTATTTAATATCTAAAAATCATATTCGACTAAGTTTTCATGCTTAAAATTTATTTCTTGTTGTCTCATTGATCCTAATGTACTTATCATTACTTTCTCACTATGACATACCATGTAAATATTGACACTATTTACAATAATATGTAACATGATAATTTCATAGGATGAAATCAAGCAAATATATAAATTCAGCATAAATATGTACTCCTTCCTATCACTCTATTTTCCTAGTTTTGTGGTTTCTTATTTTCTCATCTTAAAAATTTATCACAGATCATGTGATTTACAATTGATTCATTTTTCAATCACCAACCAAAATTACCACATTTGATAAATTTAATCTAGAAAATAGTCATAAATAATTGAAAGTTTCAACAAATTTCTGACTGATTTCCGAGCATAAATAGTTTTAGATTTAAGTTTTCTAACAACTTAACTTGGTTCATATATTTCAAAAATAATTTAGCAGATCATCATTAATTTCATTCATCAATCGTTTCATGATTTTGATTTAGAAAATAGTCACAAAGATGCAAGAACTTCAATTGATTTCAGATTGATTTCTAAACAAAAAATAGTTTCAATTTTATGACTTTCAATGTCTCATGAATATGACTTTCTGAGCAATGAGAAAGTATAATCCCATCGAGCAGTTACATTACAATTTTAATCACTCATGAATACACATTGTATGAAGAGAGTGATAGTTGTAATTACCAGAAAAAATTATGATTGTCATTCAATCTTTCATCAGATTTTTGGTGTCATCCAAATTCATTCATCAAGCATGCATAAATTATATCCCATTAATATTTTTGATATGATGCAAACTGAGTTTTAAAGGTTATATAGATTTAGAATTTGGTCCATGTTTACTTAATTTATCTTACATACCACTCAATGTTCATTCCAATTTCTCTTCAAAAAATTGTAAATCTTTTTGTACTCAAAGGTATAGTAAAGAGATAGTCCAATTGAAAGTTATTGAAAATAATTTTCAAATAATACCATCTGTACTAAAAATAATTCAATTAAAATGATGTCAAAAATGCATATATTCAGTTCTAAAATGAGTGTTGGATTTTTTGTTAAATTTTTACCACTTATGTTGTCACATACAATGGAAATATTTTCTGAATTATTCTCATAATCCTTGAACTGAGATTTGACTCATGACACATGAGTAACACAATCTATAATTTGTGACTTTAGCTGTTAACTAAACAACTATAGTTGATTTGTTTTATGCCAATGAAATTAAACATCATCTTAAGATTTAGCCACTAGTAGCTCTCTTTTTTTCTTTAAATCTATACTTCCAATAAATTAAGTGATACTTGTTTAGGAAACAAAATTCCTAAATCATGTATGTATTGAATATATGAAAAATTCTTTTATGGCAGTCAAGTTTGATTCCTTCAGCCATCTTGGACTCTAGTACATGCGTACACATTGAACATTATGACAACGTCACTAAAGGTTGTATACAAAAGAAATCCTTCCATGCATCTATATGTTTGCTAATGTATAAACTTCTATTGTCATCAAGATCAATTTTGATCATGCTGTTTACAAGAATTTTCTTTTCTATCTTCTTGAATGATTATGTTTTTCTGATAGTTCATTTGTGATCTTTAGAAATAGCTAAGTTTACTTAGCATACTCATTTTGAAATTATTTATCATCTTCCAAAAATTTAGTACATGAATTTTCATCTTAAGATTTTGAAAAAACTATAAATCATCTTCATATATTTGAGCCACAAGTATATGTTTACCATTTTTTATCAATAGAGTAGTACAATACTAACTCCATTAGATCTATCTTCTAATAATATAGATGTCAATCTTTCATGCGAAGCTCTCAAAACTTAAGTTTAGATAATTTTAAGACATGATGAAGATATTATAAGTTTAAAACTAGGTGATTAACTCACATATACTTCTTTTCTGATTTCACTATCAAGAAATATTGTCTACATATCTGTTTGATATGAGATAATACTTCTATAGATTATATAGGCTGATTAAATTCGTGATTACATCTCAATCTGTCCACTAGATCATATATTATATCTAAAATATTATATTTTAGTTTTAATTCATTCTTGAACATCTTTAGCTCTTATGTTAGACATTTCAGATCTTTGGATGATAGTCTTCAAACCTTCCTTTTCTCAAGATGGATTTAATTCTCAATCATGTATTCAGTCTAATTTTTCATATTTCAATCAGAAAATGGGCGGGATATGGATGCAAATACGGATGGAGAGTCTCGCTTAGTAAAGAGAGTCGTAGATTCGTAGAACAGGAGAAGAGTTTTTTTCTTCAATGTCCTTTAACTGAATTTCTAATTTCAATATGCTCAAGTTTTCTGTATATTTCAATATAGATCATGTATGTGTTCCTTTCTTAGCTTCCATAAAGTCTAATTCATCATCTCATACTTCTCAAGATTTTTCTCTAATTTAGGAAGTCATGTAAGATCATTGATTGAAACTTTCTGAAGTTTAGTCTCCAGTAGTTCTTTTTCCTCAATAGAGACCTTTTTGATTTCCTTCAACAAGTTTGATAGCTATTATTTCCTCAATGATTAAAGTTTTTGTCATTGTAACTCTAAATAGTATCATAGAAACATCCAATAGATATGTCTTATGTTTTTCGCTCAACAAAATATGACTAATTCCTTAGTCCTCACAAAGATTCTGAATATTTTATTTTTTTAAAAAAATTCACTATGATCATAAACCCATATCCTTTTCCATTTAGGTCTCCTGATTTTGTTTGAAAAATGTCCTTGTAATAAGTTTAGAAGTGACTAG